CATGCTAGTACTGCATGATATTGTCCATAGCTGTGTGAAACAGCTGGCACTAAGAATAGCCAGAGTGGTAGCTGCAGCAGTATTGCAGGCTAAAAACAGAACAATAGCTGTTAAACACTGATATTCTCACGGTCCTTCAGTTCAGGATGTTTTGGAAGTTTCAAGTCTACTGCATACTGAAGGTCAAGGCAATTGTTCAGGATATAAAATTAGTTTCTCTAAGGGAGAAACTTGCATGGCTCCAAGTGACTTGGCTGAAAATTCATCAAATTTAATTTTCATGGGAGTCTGAAAGGTTTGGGACATCTAGAGACCATGGTTTCCTGTCACTTCCAGATTCTGTACAAAATTAATTTCCTACAAATATCTGAATGACTCCAAAGCGATTTAGACAGATGGTCTAACTGGCTTCATGGGCCTATAATTTCCCTCAGAAGGAATTCCTTGCCAAAATTGTATTTGTTCCAAACTTTGGTTTCTATTTTCTAACAGGAGGCTTTTCTCTGTTGATTTAGAGCTAGAGTAAAAAGTGCATTATAACCAAACACTATGCTGAATCAACATGGGGAATAAGTTATTTTGGAGAAGAAATCTTTACCTAGAAAATCCATGACAGAATTGTGACAGTACATTGCTCACAACAGTGGGTTTTACAAATCAGGAAAAGGTTGATCTGAAAAAAACACTTGTAATTTGCCTTGTAAGTGAAAATTGCGTGGCAGTAGATAGTCTGGATAACTCGATAAAAATTTACCATACCTAAACTATCAAAAACTTTGAGGTGTGGGAATTGTTGTGCTTGTGAATATCTGTATTACAACTAAACCAGCATTTTAAAAACTGAGTAAAATTTTAAAGGAGTTAATTCCCACAACATGGGTGTGTCTGATTCCATGACAGGCTTTGAGTTATAGCAGAGAAAATACCAAGAGCAGATAAAGTCTTCTGAGAGAGTAAACACTAGTTTCTTTTAAGTGGTTAATTTCCCTTGGAGTTTTTTTATTCCTGTGGTGTTTGTTTCCTTAAAAACCTACTCCAAAAAAGCCTGCTTTCCTCATACATCATTTTAAGTGAATTTCATGTATTCTCCATGTCTTGTTCTATTTCTGAACAGGAAACTGACCTTATGAAATATTAGTCAGGTGTCAGTTCCTGATTTAGCACCATCTAAACTAATTTTTCAAACCATGTTGAAACCTCCCTATGCACCAGTGCTCTGTATATTATGCTTTAAGGCCTTTTGTTTTTTGTAAGGAAACAGAATCAAACATTATGCTCTGGAGCTGTGGGGATTTTTTAATTTACTGGTGTTTTCATATCAGAGGAACAGGGAAGACGTTTTTTCCCTGATACACTGCTGAGTATACAAAACTTTTTGAATCTGTTCTTGCTAGGTAAATAAAACTGGTACCTCATTCACAATCTGAAATGTAAAGAATTGCTCTCCTTTTGCTTAGATTTTGAATAAAAATGAACTCTAAAAGGACAGGATCCATGTATATGGAAATGTCATTTTAAATCACTCGAAACTACCTTGAGTAATCTAGCTTGAAAGAGTCATATCTCTGTCTACTTATGTTAATAAACAAAATGCTAGAAGTGTCATAAATATAGTCCATAGATTTGCAGAAACAGTAAAAAACACTGCAGTTCTCCAAATTACTTCCTCATGGAAAAAAGAATGTTCCTTCTGGTACAAATACACTGCTACATCTCAAACAACTTTTTAATTTTTATCTGCTCAACTAGGTAAAATTTTATCTTCAGATCTAGCTCAATGTGATATATAGGTAGATATTATAATTTGAAAGGCAAAATATATGATATTACCATCTATTCTTAAATCTATGGACAATTGCTATGGATTAGCGAAAAAGTCCTTTAAGAGAACACAAAATGGCTTGGAAAATCTGAAAATTTTATCTGTTGTCCTAGTGATTGACCTGGACATATTAAATGTTTTGCATGCAACTATTTACTATTGATTTAATTTTTTCTCTACCACATCTAAAATGTTTTGTTTTAAAGTTTCTAGTTGCTTTCACTGTCACTATTTCTCTTGTTGCATGAACACTATATATAGTAATGGAGAAACTGTTGCCACCTGCAGAACTGTCATTAAAAAAAAAAAAAAATGCAAGCACTGTTGTATTTTTTTTTTTTAGAAAGACACTCAAAGTTTCCAGAAATAAAATAATTTGACAAGAGGCAAGTGGGCAGACATGAAGAGGTAAAAAGTATTTTTGGATATTAACAGTTTTTATCCCAAAAGGCTGACTCATGCTGCAGAGACTAGAGGTGGTAGTTTGGAAACTGTGTATCTTTAAGAGATAACACAGATGTTTCTATCCAGCATGACATCCCAGCTGATGGTCAGGGAGATATGACAGACAGGCAGAGGCAGCAGTGCTCAGCTACCTCCAGTAGGAGCCTGACAACATATCAACATATTTGGGAGGGTCTTGTCTTCCTAACAACCAGCTTCTCAGTTTTCTCAAGTTGGGGATTTATTTACTGTCTTGTTTTTGGGGTTTTGCACCATTATGTTTATTTTAAATCAAGTTTAGTTACACATTTTAGGTACAAGCAAGGAAATACTTCTTATCCTTTAGTGCTTGGGCTGTCACTGGGGATTGGGAACAATGAGACAGCAGAAAATAACAGAGAGAAAAAGCCTAACAGAGGTAAATACAGTCATGATGGAAAGCAAGGAGGAAGCAGCTGGAAGAGGAAACCAGAAAAATACAAACAGATTTTGAGATAGAAACTGTCTACATCTCAGCAGAATAGCTCCTTGACAGAAAATAGGGAGCTGACTGGAGAAACTTATATATAAACCAGCAAAGCTGGATAAGGGAGTCTTCAGACTGGAGGTAATATAGCATGTGAGCATGTCTTCAGGTATCTGTTGCTAAAATGGTCATTTGTTTTCAGATCATTATTGATCTAAAGAAGATGCCATTGGTTTCCCCATCACTTCAAGCTTTATTTCAGTCTACTTGTAATAGGCATCAATGTCCTGTTTCTGTCATAGAGCACAACAGAATTTTAAATTATTATTAGGTATTAAGATTTAGCATTTACATAAAATTTTCATGCACTGTTTTATGGATGTTCTCTAATTAATAATCTCAGCATATACAGACTGTATGAAAATGTAGCTGTTTTGTAGATGGGAAAATTGCAGTTGATTGAATTGCTGAAAGCAATGCAAAAATTGCTTTTATCAGTAGCATTGCTTAGTACTGAGGCTTTCTACTATTTGTAGTTGACTTTTCTTTCTGGTTATTGTGTACTGGAAAGCAATACAAAAATTGCTTTTATCAGTAGCACTGCTTAGTACTGAGGCTTTGCTTTCTACTATTTGTATTTGACTTTTCTTTCTGGTTATTGTGTACTGGATCTCTTTGGATTAATTTGATGCAATAGCGATGAAAGTTGTTAATATTAAGGGTCAGCTTTGCAGCACCTCTCCTTTGTTGGGGGACACGGAATACAAAATGAGAACTAGAGTCATGGCTAGAGTCCCTGGGTTACTCATATGGCTATCACAAAGGCCTATTTTCCTGAAAAATTTCTACTGCTGCTAAAGGAACTGATGACTTACTTCATAATGGATATTTAATCAACCATGGTCTGTCCAGAAACATGTATATATTAGTCTTTGAGTGTTATTCACCACCAGGATGTTTGTTATTTGTTGTTTCTTGGTTTGAGATATATGCCAAAATAGGGTTATTTAAGAAAAGAGAAACTGCTATTAAGGTTAAAAGAATGGGTATCATGAGAGTCATAACATTCACTGGCCTCAGTGTCAGGCAAACACTTGGTTCTATCAGTTCTCATCATAATTCCCTCCTCATACCTGCCAGCCTCTTTTATTCATGTAGGTGAGTTAACACAGTTCACAAAAGTGCAAAAATATTTAAAACATATCTTTGCTAGACAGGAAAAAAGCTAAACTTGTGAACTCATGAAATGCAGAGTCAGGGAAGTAGAAGTTAGTGGCAAAACCTTTGTCAGTGTTCACTCTTAGGTTGCATATAATTTCAGAAATTTCACTGCAGGTTCTAATGTGTTTTCTAATTTGAATTTGAGTATGTGCTCAATTCACGTATATATCCATTTTATCTAGAAAAGTTGTTTTTCAGGAACTATGCCGTAATGTTTAGTTTGTCTCCCAGGAATGTGGTAACAATATTGGATAAAGCTAAATTCAACATTTGTGGTTTCCATTGGACTTCCAAAACACCTACTTTATCATTAATTTCTAATCAAAATATCTTGAGATTCTGGACATTCTGTAAAGAAAAAGTTACTACATGTGTTGAGAAAACAGTATTTTCTTTTTTACCCAAATAATAATTTTTAAAGATTCTAATTTCATTCAGAACAAAGGCTAATAATACTTTATTACATAAAATTATTTTTTTAAAACAAGACAGAAGTCTTTTAACAAGTCTTTTTTCATATTTTGAACATATATTTGAACATCCCATTTTCTCAACATTATGCACAAAGTTGGAACAGATAATTTCATTTTCATTTGTTGACTTTTCATGCATAAGAATACGCAATAGCAGTTATGCCTAGATATAAAAAATAAATCCTTTTGTCAGACCTGAGCAAAATATGAAGGTTTTAGGATGGTGCTACAAGGAGATGACAAAGAGAACAATGAGCTGAGAACAGGTTCAAGGCTTTATAAGGAAGACACTTCAGCATCCTACAGGTGGCTTCTGAAGCTGCCTTCTGCTAACGGAAAATGAGGCTGTGCACATATTCTGTCAGGGAAAATCTGGCTACCAAAAGTAGGTTATGTCTTATTGAAAAACTATATTATGAAAACCCCTCATTTATTTTACAGTATGTACATTTCAACAGCCTGGCAGATTTTAGGAGAGACTGATGTATCAATCAATCAATCAATCAATCAATAAATCAGCATCCTTTTAAAGGATTTAATCAAAACTGTAAAATAAAGTGCTTGTTTGCTTCATCTATGTATTCTGTGCTCTTATGGTCTTCATGTCTTTCAGCAGCATTGGTCTGTAGAGCTCCTCCAAGCTTTCCATGTAGTCTAAATAATTACTCACTCGAAATCCATGCAGTGCTTCCTCCTGCACAAATACACATAGAAAGCATTTATTAGCTAGGGAAAAAAAAAAAGTACAACTCAAATTTAATCAATTCCAAGCTTCTAAAGATAGCTCATTTTGTTCTGATTGTTAGAGCCTGGCTGTTTAAAATGGATTTTATTATGTTTTATTTAGGAATACAGATTTGGCATTATTTGCTTCCAGGCAGTTTTTTTCTAAACAATTTGCATGGGGACACTGTTTACCTCATTTTTGGAGAATATTTCATTGAAGATTTTTAAGCAAAACAAAGTAAGCTTTAAGAGAAAGTCAGGTATTAAAATACTCTTTTGAAAGAAGGTTTCTACATCAGCACATGGCATAAGTTTATAAGTGTGGCTTTTATATCCAGTTAGATTCTAAAGAAAAACAATAGATGTATATTTTTAAAATCATTGATAAAAGAAGATCTTTCTGAAGTGCTTAAATAAAAATAGAATAAACTGTTCCGTACCACTACAAGTGAATAATTCTTACTAAATCTAAAACACAGTAGAATAAAGTGTCCTCAGGAAACAAACAGTTCCTCCTCATGGCTAATGTATTGGAAGGATAAGGAAGATGCACCAGAGAACACAGGATCCTAAAGAATGGTTAGGTAAAAAGCGTTAATTTGTTGCTGTTGCATACTCATCGTCTACTAATCAGTATTACCGCTGCTGGCAGTGAGTGCTGCAAAAAACTCTCTGGAGCCAGTCTCTGTGGACATAAGCTGTACCTCTGGAGTATTAACTGTGAATCTCTGCTAAACAGAATTCTCTAGAGAGCATCTGCTCAGGCTTGGAAAACTGCACTTTGACATCTGAACAGGAATTCAAAATAGTTTCTATATTTCTTCTCCTCTACACAGAAGCAAGTGAAAGTAAGATTTTACCTTCCAAGTTGCTCCTCATACACTGTGAGAAGGCTGACTACAGTGGAATATAAAAATTTATACATATATATACATATACACACACATATATCTGGAACTAAATGGCATGTAGAGAGAGGACAAGGGGGAATGGTTTCAAACACAAAGAAGGTAGGTTTAGATTAGGTATGAAGAAGAGCTTTACTGTGAGAATGGTGAGCCACTGAAAAGAAGTTGTGGAACACTCTAGAAGTGTTCAAGGCCAGGTTCAGTGGTGTAGTGGAAGATGTATTGGAACTAGATGATGTTTAAGGTTCCTTCCAATCCAAACTATTCTACAGTTCCAGTTTTTTGGTTTTTTTTTTAGTTTCAATTAATTAAGACTTAAAGGAGGACGAGTTAAGTATGCACATTTTTTTCTGCAGTGGTCACTCAATAAATTGCAAATATTCCAGTACTGCATTAATTTACATTCTTTTCTCATTAATTTAACAATACTATGCAAAAACTTTAGTCTGTTTATACTGCATGCTGCAATATGAATTCTCTCTTCAATATTTTACATATTCTATCCAATAATGCCATCAAAATATACAAGATTTTTAAGACATGTCCAAAATCAGGGAAAACAGAACAATACATTCAATTAGACTGTGGATACATTCATTAGACTGTGTACCAAACATTTTCAAGGAAGCTGATTGGGCTGAGATATTTTTTCGTATTTAAGAATATGTAAGTTGGATGCAAACCAGTTAGAAAACTATTATCCTTAGGGCAGAGTATGATGCAGATATCTAGTTCTCAAAATTTTTTTGACAGGTGAAAAAAGATCAGAGAAAAAGACAAAAATATTCCTGTGAAGAAGAGTAGGATACTGTATCTATTTATGACTACAGCTATAGCTATGCATTACCCTTCAAAAAACCCCAGACCCAAACATAATCTATAACTGGGAAATAATATGAAATTGTGAGGCTGGTAACATAGTAATTGGTATTTCTTCAAACTATCAGCTTGCTGCTCAGCTTTGTGCCACATCTCTACAAGCTTCAGCAAGAGACCACAGTGCAAACCCATCTTTCTGGAGAGCATGTTGTTCAATGAGATTGAGCCCATATACAGAGAACTGAATCAAATGCTCTCATGATTTAATGTGCCTATTTTCTTTGCTCATGAGAAATCTCTCATTCCAAAATGTAGGAAAGCTATTTTCTAGAAAATACTATACATAATTTCCTTCCAGGGAACAAATTAAATTAAAGTACTATTTCACTCATTTAAAATGACTGAGTGAAATTCAGTACGAGTTTCAGATTAAGTAATGTATATATCCTCAGTATTCAGAGATTTGCTTCTCCTCAGCAGTAGAAAAATTAAGAAACTCTTACTTTCAGAAAAACCTGAAGATCGCGGGCCTCTGTGTGCTTCAGGATGTCTTGCTGTAGGTGTCTGAACACAGAAATACACATATATATTTGATAATCAGGACCAAGGAAAATACATATGGCAATGTAGTGACAGATCTCACTCCAGTCCATGTAATTCCAGAAACACTGAGTTATCCATTGCAGACAGATCTAGATGAGAATGAAGTTGTATATAATTAAATCATTCTATACATTCAGTCATAATGATCAGCTTTATCTCTTTTCTATATTAGAGAACTTTTTCCCTATGACATTACCACAGTTGTGAAAATAAAAGGGATAAAGTACAAAAGAAGCCAAGATTCACCATTTTTTAATGCAGAGCCTCTGAACAGACTCCTAGTGAGTTTGACTAGATATAACACCGACATAACACCCTATATCCATGCATCTCACTTGTACGAGTATATTCTGGCACTTCCTGAGGTTGAAACTCAAATACCAATGAAAGCAAAAGTGATTTTTTTTCAAGATTTTGTTTTAAATGTGGCCTAAAGGGTAATGACAGTGATGAAGGCATGTTCAATGTGGGTTTTCCTTTCAATTAAAGTACTTCTCTGCATTATAAATGAATGTTAGGCCCTTCTCTGCGACACATTTTCTTTTAATGAAGTGAGTACGAACACCGTGACTCCTTTGCCCTGTTCTAAATTACAAGATATTAAGAGGTATAATGCACATTTCATTTAGTTCTAGGCCACAAATCTTCTTCTAATCATTCCTTAAAGTGTTTAAAAATACGCAGAAGAATTACCACAATTCTAATTAGATGACAACAAATATAGTATGGGAGTAAATCTGTTTTGGGGTATTTATTGAGGCACACAATCACTTTTAAATATATTAGAACTGTTTCCACAGTTCAAACTTTGTTTTAAATGCTGCAGAAGAACTGTAAAATCACACAGAAGATACAGTGGCACCCACAAGTGGCATTTCAGTAACTCATTAAATAAATGAAAAAAATCCTTGCTAGCAGTTTAGAACAGTATCTAGACTATTACTAAGTTTACACAATTAAAAAACAGTGTAACTTGCAAAAGAATAGCTGGTGGAGTGCTTGTCCCCATATGTTTTCCTCAACCCAAAACAGGAACCTTATTACAAGCACCTTATTCCTATGCTGAGATAAATTCCTTTATCTGCAACTCTTCTCTCCTCAAAAACCAAACCCCACGCTGACTAATTTAAGCAATGTTTGTACCACACTGGCATCTGCCAGTCTCTTCTGCTGGAAATCTCACAGCAAAAAGGAATTTTGAAGGCATAAGATGAAAAGTATTTTTCTTGCCTGGCACAGCGATGCCTTTTCTCACTGGCGAGATGTCCTTTGCACAGACAATCTAACTCACTGCATGGAGCTCTTTACCCTTCATCATGAATGCAATCTTTACAAACATGCTTCATCCATAGCTTTCCATACTACCAAACAATTGTTTGTAAGCAAAATGAAAGTTGGTGTTATAGATAATTATTCTTCTGTTGTAACACCTCTTTAATATGAAAGAATAGTGTGTTACCTGTTTGTAATAGTTATGGTAGCTCATATAAAATTATTTTTTCTCTAATATCACAGGAACTGCTTCCTAGTATGTAACTACTAAAAATTACTCATTTCTCTCCCATGGGAAATTGAGATAATTATTTCAGGAAATGAGATATTCTGTTTAAATGCTAAATATGAGGATTTAGTATATATTATTTTTAGCAATTTTTGTGCATGAACATGTAATAAAAGGTCATCAGCTCGACTACACTGGTATTATTCTATGAGTCAGTTACTTTCTATTTTCAGAAGCTCTAAGTCATTACATGTTCTTATCTCTTACCCTGTTTTATAACCACCACACAAGCACTGTTTAGGAAAAATGGACAGTGGTTCCTCTGTGTTCTTGATTTTGTAGCTTTAAGTCAATAGACTGATGATACTTTAATACATTTTGATTGGTTACCTGGGATGGAGTGAAACCAGACATGTGGAAGGCTGAACAGACAAGAGGCAACTCAGCTTTCAGCAACATTTCAACGTGGTGGGCACTGCAAAAATAGACTGGGTGGATGCCATATTCCACTGTTGTAACAGGCAGGTGCATCTGGTTAACAACAACAACATCATCATCAACAAAATTGAGGAACAGGATTACAGACTACAGAAATGTGCTGGTTTTTAATATATTGCTGTGAACAATATGTAAAAATATATATTTTTATATGTAAGATAAGTAATTCCGGTAATTTTAGAGACAGGAAACAGCATAAACAAAATAGGTTGTACTTCCATCAAGAAAAACATGTAGGTAACTAAAGAAAAGTGTTGATAAATATATCTTGATTGTTACTGTGCATTTGCAGTCTAGTTCCTTATGTATACAGGCTTTAATTGTCAAAACAGTGATGGAGAAATTGCTGTTATATTTTAAGCAGGAGAACAAAGGGGGGAAAAAAAGACTGATTTCTGTTGGATTTTTTCCTCCATTTAGTGGTGGAGCAGAACTTCCATGATATTTGAAGTTGTTTTATGAGTGCACATATCTTTGCAGTATGTGTGGATGGTATGAGTGAAATTCTATTATGTGCAGCAAAAGGAGCAGAGGTTTTATCACTGTGGAAGGCTCTGAATATCAATTCCCAGTTCCAGTTACCCTTGGCACCAGTGGTTTTTCAGCACTTGCACAATGGAACAAATTTCAACACAAATTTAATTATGCTGGAACAACCTCAGGCCAGACTCAGTGCCGAACGGACCAATACCATCCTCTCTTCTGGTGACAAGACAGATCACTTGGTATTACTACAGAAGCCTCCATGCAGAAGTACAGAATCTAGTCTGTGTTTCTTGTACCCCAGAATTCTCTGATAGAGACTATAGTTTAGGGTTTATGTTCAAAACATTCAAGACAACATGAGAATGTACAAAGGGTTTTATTTTAAATAGCTGTGAAGACCCATAATGAAAGATAGAAATGATGCTTCCTATATTACAACCTCAATTCAGAATACTGACAATTTAGAATTGTCAATCATAGAGTATTTTTGCAGTAATAATTTTTAAAACGTACTAAATATACTCAAACGTATTATGTAAATTTCAAAACTGTCACTAAAAAAAAAAATCAAAAAATCAGATGGATGGACTTGCTCTCTTACTGAACTAATTAAAATAAAAGGTCATTCAGCAGTATCACAACCTCCTCACGGAATTTAATGCCACTAACAAAGTTCGTTTTACTGCCAGCTTTAAAATTCGTAATCATTGTCTTCCTATTAGTCTACCTGCTACTTCTCTCCTTTTAAGCAAAAATTTGACCCAATAACAGACCTACATTATCCCATGAATTTTTCAGGGTCATGTATTTAGCTAGGGGGCCTTAAGGAAAATATAATATAAAATATTAGAAAAAAAATAATAATAAAAAAACCAAAAACAAACAAACAAAAACAAACAAGGAAACCAAAAAAAACCAAGCTAAGGAGATTAATAAAGTCTCATTTGTAAACTTTCAAAGCAGCCTTTCAGAAAGAAATAGGTTATAAATTCTTACAGATAAATGCAGTCTTGGTTGCCAGAGAAATGCTGAAACAAGAAGCTGTGAAAATTGCTGAAGAAACATCAGTGTCTTCTCCCTGTCCCCTGACATTATGAGGAAAATAGAAGATGCAAACCAGTCATAACCTGCATAGTGCTCCTGCAAGCAGCCTGAATGGGAAGGTTAAGGAACTTGGGCAGAGATCTCCTCCTCACTCTCCTGCATCAACCACAGCTTTCCTCCTTCCCAGGCCCAGACATACAGTGATGGGAGCTGGGTTGTTAGACATAGCCAAGGGGAGCAGAGCTGCACAGAAGGCATCATCAAGACACAGTTGTCTCTCAAACTGAATTAAGAGAAAAAATTTAAGCTGTTTTCCCCATATACTAATTTTTTTCAGTTCGTATGTATTCAAGCTAAATCAATAAAAGTAAACAAAAAGCAAGCAAATGCAAAAAAACCTGCACCAAAACAAGTGTGCTTATAAAGTGCAAGAAAGGAGAATAGTGGAGGAATAAAACAGGAGTTAAAATTATTGAAAAAAAAAAAAAAGTAAATGAAAAGCCTTAAAATGAGATTTGGCACATTTTGACTTAATACACCTGAAGTATAATTTAATAGTGGTATGCAAATCTAACAGAAAAGAATATAGCAAAGCTTGTGGAAAAGCTGTTATCTGATTTATTTTTTTCACAAGAAGCTCCACAGTAGATCCAAAAGAACCAAAAGTCTAATTGCTCCTGATGATCAGACTACATCTTCTTATCACATTTATTACGCTTATATGGGCAGTATCATTACCAGTGTTGGGATTGTGAGAGTACCAGAAATACTCATTAATGTTCAAAGGTACATTGCTGTGGGCTCTTCATCACATTCAAAGATGAGATCCCACTCCAAAACAGTTGATGACAAAAATGAATGAGGTTTGCACTTCTAACAAAGTATGGGAACCAAAAAGGTGAATATTTTCTTGAGTGCATTTGGTATGCATTTAACTTAACAAAATTTCAAAGTAAAAGTGTTCTTTTTAAAAAAATAAATAAATTCCATAAATGTTACACACCTACACCTCTATTAAAAGTACAAACCAGGAGGTCAAATTCCACTGAAATTAGAAGACTATAGAACTTATACCATCAGGAAAGGATACGAAGTGAAGACACCACAGTTCTTCGCTGTTGTTTCAGAAACTCCTCACAATTCATTAACACAAAACACAGCCCATTTTCAGCATCTTCTTTTAGTAAGTTTAAGTATTTTCCGTATCTATTTCAAAAAGTTAAAAAAAAAACCAAACTCTTTAAAGATTACATATTTTTTAAATTCCTTAAAAAGAAGACCTCATATTTAATAAACCTTTATTTAAAAGTTAAACTGTCATAAAATTGTTCATCACTAAAACTATGCTGTAGATATAACTTTCTATGGTCTATCTAGAAAGGATACACAGCAACCATCTGCTGCTCATTGTTACAAATCCTGACTCAAATTCCCTTTAGTTCAGTTTTAAGAGACTGGGCTGGGGATAAACAAGTACTCTAATACACACAACTCCATTTCTTCATGCACAATATTTAGAATTTTATATAATTATTGTATGCGTAATTATTATGATCAGAATTCAAACATTAATGCTAAATCTGTAGAAATATAGACATCTAAGCTTTTCCATCATCGCAGCTCTGCAAATTACCAGCCAAATAGATTGTTTAAATGGCATATAACTAAGCTTAGCTAAACAGAACCATTTAGAGAAGTAATGTGAGGGAAAAAAACATACATAATTCAGGATAATGCAAATTTATGGTAAATCTTACTAGCACGTTACAATTAGTCTTTACAAAAGTAGAGGATAATAACATATATAAACTGTAAAGATAATTTAATTATGTACTAATACCTTTTTCAATTCCAGTTAGAATTAATTTTCTTAAAGTTTATCTTAGATTTAAATGGTATAAAGCAATGAGTTGATGGATTAAGTATTATTAAAGTCATTCCATGAAAATCAAACAAATCCTAGAAATACTCCAGGGAAATATTTTAATACCATGTACCTGACTGTCATTTCAACACCAAGCTGCTGCACAGATGAAAGATTTTCTTTCTTCACATCTGCATCCATGGCTAAAACAAAAGGAAATAAATTAAATAAAGTATCATAAGAAATATTATTTGAACTGCATGCTAATGTAAAGCTCTTTCCGTGTATGAATACCAATTCTGGAGAACTGTTTCCTATTCAAAATTATTTTGGTAGTGTTTGGAAAGGATTCATAAAGAATCTGCATTCTTCACAGACTTTTTTTAAAATCAAAATCACCCTCTTTATAAGGAAATCTTCATGGTTAGTATGGTTATCATGACAGTTATCAATAGATTTATGGCAAGAGACATTTTTTCCAGCCCCATATCTTAGCAGAATTTTATCCTTTCCGGTCTAGAAATCAGAGAAGGCAGCCTACTCTGATCCACTTTCTTCCATTCCAGAGGCCTCAAAATTTCCTAGCTGTAATTCCAACTTTTGTTAATAAAGTTCTATTTTGATATGAATCACAGAAAACTCTAGAACTGAATGATTTAAAAATTAATTAAATCCTGTATTTACATGCATTTTTTCATACAGTAAAATATACTCCATTTTCTTCAGTTGTTTAATTTAGAAAAATTAATAAATAATGATTTAAAGCAACCACTGATGTTGAATTTGCTCAAAATATTAAATTCTAAATTAAATTTTAAATGGGCATTTTCCCTATAAGGTACATGTTATCATCTAAGATAACTATATCACAGATAAAAATTGAAGTCTAATAATATTATGAGTTACAAAGCTAAGGGAATAAACCTTTAATATACTTCTTTGAAAGTGCTACTAAAAAAACCAGCAGGAAATTATTATTAACTATTTTTTATTAAGGGTTATATTATTATAACCCTTATTAACTGACATTTGTTAAATATGTAAATAATTGACATGGTAGCAGCAGTTATTATATTCATGTAAATGATGAATGTAAAAATCTAATTAAGTAGATCACACAGTAACTTCTTATGTATTTTTCCTATATCCTCAGACAGAGAAATCAAAGTGAAGGATTCCCTGGTTATTCATGTAGGTAAACACCCCATTTTCCTGGCACACAAACAGGGACTAAGGCATTAAAGATGAAATAGTTACAAGTTCAGAGAGGAAAGGACTCAAAGGCAAAAAAACCCTCAAACAAACAACAAAAACCAAACTAAACTAAAAAACCCCACCAAAACAAGAACAAAACAAAAAACACAAACAAACAAACAAAACCACAAAAAAAACCCCAAAAATCCCTCAACCAAACAAAACAAAAAACTGCAAAACAAACAAACAAAAAAACACCAAAAGGAAGATTCTGTCTGGTCATATGAGATGCAGTAGGTTAAAATTTTTATGAAGAAAATAATATAGCAAAATTACACTCAAGAATGAAGCAATAAAATTCAGCAGAGGAAGTATGGAAAGAATAAAACCCTATTCTATTTTATAACTTTGACAGTGAGCAATAATTTAAGTGTTATGATTGTGAGAAATTAACCTTATACCTTTGACATTATACATAATAAAAATCTACTGCTCTTTGAGTAAAATGATCTTATTCAATAATCTGGTGGGACTGAAACAGTAAACCTACATCACAGAGGTTTTTTGCAACCCAAAAACAGAAGTTCAAATATCTTTTGCATGGCACACCAGAAGAGCAATCTTTGGAAGAATACATATAAATTCACAGGGCATTTCAGTTAAAATCCCACAGAAATAACTGAAATATTCATAACTTTTAACAGCTCTTGTTCCAAGTTACCTGTTTACTCAGGCTGCAATTGCCAAACTAAATCAATTCATTTTCAAGTTTGTGTGTGCAAGTAGGAAGGCAAGAGGCATATATACATCCTAGAAAATAGGGGGAATTTAAATGAGTTTGCTATGGCTAATGACTAATTCAGTCCTAACACCACCAGGTTTAATGGCAGCAGAGGGCAAGGAGGACAATGAGTCTCTAATTCTAAGCTCCAATGCAGTCCTGCTTCCATTTTGAGGTGGAAATGCAGGTATCCCAGGCTAGCAACAGTGCAATGAGGAAAAGCTGTATCACAACCCACTGTGTGAGTCCAGTAACCATTCTGTAAGAGTTTACAAGTACTGAATGCTCATTGTCCATTAACATTGAAAGAATACAACTCACTTCACTGATTTTCATTAACTTTTCTCCTCTGTTGTAACAATTTCTTAGTGGCTGGAAAGGGCTTTTTTCCCCACCACACTTCCCTCTGATATTTTCCTCTGTATTGTGAAGGAAAATAAAATTAACTTGAAGTCTGGATTGAATAATAATTCTCTATCACACAGTACTTTATCAAGGCAAAACCTCTTGCTTTCAGATACCACTGTATTCGACATAATTACAGCTCCGTACTCTGCTAATCCACAAATTGTGCTTCTTTGTCATGGGTCAAAAGTTTTTATTTTCCCTTTTGTTTTTCACTTAAACTGGAAAGAGTAGGCTTAAGAACACTGCAAAGTCATTTAGAATACTCAGAGGATTACTTCCCACTGATTAAAAACTGGACCTAGAAACCTTAAACCTTAAATTAGACTTAGAAAAATGCTATGAAAAACAAGTGGAATATTTAAATACTACATATTGCAATCCATGGACAAAAAGCTTGCTTGTTGTGACTGTATTATTGTGATGATGCCCATACATGTGATTCAATGCACTAACTTAATTTTATACAAAAGGTTTTTGACCAATATTTTTCAATACACCTGATATAACTGTCTCGAAACACAAAAGGCTTTATAACAAAAAGTCATGGAGAAAAATCAGTTCTCTAAATAAGAATCCCATTCATCCTCAAAGACTAGACCACCTCTATGAACCGTGAATTAATAATATGATACAGCACTCTGGCTATTATTAAATGGAATGAACAAGATACTTTGGCAGCTTCCTTTTTATTTGTCTTAAAGCAAAAAAATCTATGGTGAACAGATATTTCACACTTCCTTCTTTAAAAATGGAAAACACTGTAAAACAGAAGCCAAAATTAAACTAGTGACTTGAAGGATATAGGAATTCCCTAGGAGCTGATTTACAATTTAAGAAAATTCTTAGAAAGCACCTCAATGGGCAGCACTTTTCAAAATGTTTTGTGGTATTCAGGAGCACAAAAAAGAGACTCCCATGAGGCATGACTCCCATAGGCAAGGATGTATTATTATTATTATTAAACTCAGTCTATAACTAAAAACACTCCAGCAGCGCAAGTTAACTGCCATCCATAGTCCTGTGACATTCATTTTGATCAGCCTACACTTCAACTAACTATATAATTTATATTAAAGATTGGTTTTTATTCATTTTCCCTCTTACTGTGACAAAGCTTTTATATGTTTGAGTCAGAAAATGGGCTACATCACATTCATACTGAAATGACAGGATGCCACGCCGAAACAGCCTTACAGCATATTTCATGTAACTTGTGTGGTTTTTGGGTAATATTTAATTTATTTCCCTGTTTAAAGTGCTGTCACTCTGTCAAAGACACCACTGGGTTCCCTTTTGGCCTAAGTAAAGAATATTACTAGAGCTGTCACTCACATTATTGGTTTAGCTTTCTCACTTCCTGATGTCCAGGCCAAATGGTTTTATGTCTATATAAATAATCTTCAGAATATTCTAACGGAAGCTAAATTTTAACTTCAGTGACAATAAGAAAGATTAGGTTTCTTGCTATGGATGAAAAAGACTTTTGATTCAAAGAAAATATTTAAGTAAAGATTCTGAAAACATCTGAAAATACCAAGATAGCCAGAACCACCTGCATAATTCCCACAAATGCTTTAAAATACTTATAAGTATATAGGTATACTTGATATCAGATTTCTAGTCCATGGCTTTGTCCATATAAACTGAAACTGTGAAACTCGTAATTTTTTCCTATGATTTATTATTTTTGTTAACAAACCAGAAGGTTTTCACTTACTTTTCAACAAGTACTACACACTGACCCTGCCCATTGGCAGAAACCCAAGCAGTCAATATTAATCTTTATGCTTTGTCAGTAACTATCCTTTCTCATCCTGACATTCTTATGGAAGTTTTCTATTTTAAACATTATTTGGAATTGTGGCAGAGCAAAATTTATGAGTTTCTCTCTATATTCTGTTACGCCATTTTGCTACTGTTTCTTCATGATGTCATCTCTGTAACCAGGCTACTCATCTAGAACACTTCAGGCTGACTGACCTCATATTCAGTTAGAATTGTCTATAAAAAAACCTTTGTTCAAAGTAAAGTATTACTTTTGTTGCATTTGAACTGGGAATGAACACAATGTTAACAAGATCCAAGAGCAACTGCTGAAGAATGCTGATGGCTTCTTAGAGGTTATCTCATGTGCAATTCCACCTGGACTATCAAAAGTATCTGTTATGTCATCAGTAGTCTTGTCATAACAATACAAGACCAAAATATTCATATCTAGAACTTCATTATATAATGATCATCATGAATACTCAAGCTGTTTCTGGCAACAGCTTCATTAAGAATGAACCACATTTTCAGTCCTGTTATCTAAATTGGCAATGGGTAAAATGCTTTCTGATAACAGCATCTTCAAAATGGTGGACAGTTTGAAGAACTGCATTTATCAAATGATTCAGAAAGAATGGAAGAATTCCCTTCCTACCCCCTTCCCTTTCAGCCCAATTTCAGGATGTAATCCCATATTTCTCATTTGCTACTTCTTCTGAACAGCTCTATACTGACACCTTCCCATTGGTGTTTTTTAAATTTCTCAGTTTGTTACCCAACCCACCTGACCCCTCAAAGATTAAGAGCTCAATAAATGGCAGGAAGTTTCTATGAGATTTTGTTCTGTCAGAGAACTAAAGCTCATCTAGGAGAAGGAACACACCATGATATTTGAGTTTTATGGCCAAGACCTGAAATCCCTGAGGTTCTGTCCCTTTGGCAGTACACAACAGAGCTGTTTCAGAGACAAAGTCCAGTGGAAACAGAGGATTTGACTGCAAGGTCATCTGCAAAAGCAGAGCCACCAAAAAAACTCTGCTGATCACAAAACGCTTCAGGAGTCCCAAGTCTGGAGAGTCTGCAACACACCATGGAGATCAATTAAGAGGCAAAGACACCAATACATTAGATGACTTCACATTTCTCTGAATAGTTCCTCTAAATGGGTTTATCGAAACCTTGAGAAAAATACGACATTTTCACAAAGCGTTTCTGTTATATTGAACTGGAATTTGCTAACAGAAAGAGCAGGAGTCTATTTTAGGAACTTCATATCCCTAATATATAATCTATGGAATTTTACTACTACAGCAAATTTTAGTTTCTTGCCATTTTATTACCTATTACAGCTAGACACCAATGATTTGGTTTTCAGTGTTTTAGGGTTTGTAAAGGAGAAAGAAAAAATAAAAGCAAGCTAGAAATTATTAATTCTACAAAAGGAGACAGACAGATCATTAACATATACACAGATTCAGTCATCTGAATAAACGTCACAGCAGTATCATTGCTGCTAGCAGAAAGTAAACTTCATGTAAAATTTGTGTTACTGTTTATAACTGAACATTGCAACTGCATAGTGTTTTATCAGATATTTTTTCCTTCTCTCTTATCTTGAAAATGGTAACAACCCAATCTAATTTAATTTTTCCATATTTGCAAATTTTATAAGAGACTGAAATCCTGAGGGGATCCATAGCAGATGGATGACTGTGTTATTCTAATTACAACTAGCTACAGGTTTACAAAGTTGTCATTTTTTTAAGATAATCAAATTCTCATTTCAGGAAACATGATAAACGCTGAATATGTATGTGCTGTACTGAATCCACTTTCATGAAAAATGTGACTTTTCTTCATTGAAATGAAACAACAATTAGAAACTGTTTTTCAGTTCCTCAGAACCAAATTTATGTAAGAGAATGGTGGACACACACAATTGCCAAGTTCATGTTGGCTTACTTATACGTGAAGCTAGAAAGATGTTATCATCTAACAACTCACTAGCTTTACCTCATACAGAAAAAACTCTGTAACTAGTTTTAGAATTTAGGTTGGATGGCTCTTACAGGAGCATATGAAAACAATACTGTGAAATAACATGGCATTCAGTAATTCTCCTTGAAGAAATTGCAATGCTTCATAAGGACTACCAGAAAACCTTGGCAAATGCACAGAAATCTGGCCAATCGTTATTCAATCAGTGAGAAATCTAATTTTAAACAAACAAGGTCTGATAAAGATTTGAGTGTGTTTTGTTGTCCCTTTGGTACAAACATAGGAAGCATAATTGATACCTGGGTTCTCAAAGTGCATTAACATTCCTTCATAGGAAGACCATACTGTTTATTTTATGATGTAAAAAAGAACCCAAAATTTAGATATATGACTGATTCTTAAAATCATGCCCTTTTACTGTTTCAAAGCAGAATTAGAATATGATCACAGATTCAGTTTTAGAGCCAGACTTTTGCTTCATGTCAATCAGCATGAATTTATTGGTCTAAACTAAATTCCCTGGTTAACCCTTATTGCTATACCTGCCTGAAAAGGTGCTATGACATTTTAATAACTGTTTTTCTATAAAAGTTAAAATAAACCTTTGACGAAATGTGCTGTTTGCTTGAACAACACTCTTTACTGGGCTGGAGAGCTCTTCACAAAAGAAGTCTATGATAATGTTGTTGCTGACGGGGAAAGAACTCAGTAAGGCACCAGCAGTCCTTTGCCTACCTCTTACCACCAGATTACTGACTACCCTTGAGAAGACTTCTCACTTTCCCATTTCCAAACTTGTCTTCATTAAAGCACATGGACTATAAAAACATTTGCACATGGAAACTGTTCATTAGACAACCCTACAAATGTTGTAGCCTTTATTTGATAACTGAACACAAAACATAACCAGAATTAAAGTCCAATAGTGCCTGTATAAGACCCAAAAAAACCCCTCATTCATAAAATACAAAAAGAAATATTGTTCATAAATGCAAAAAGAAATATGAGTTAGTTAATCATTAAAAGAAAATCTTTAAGGCTCAAGAAAAGCAAGAACTGAGCTTTTCACTATGTTATCTTTGTTTCTGTATCTATTCTTTCAGATTTTTCATTCTAGATAATTAATTGAATAGATGCAATTGTCACAGGATTTTCAAACTTGGTCTTTTTCCAAAGTTGACATTAAATTTTAGAGAAATAATGCAATGTTTATGCCACCTCCATTTAATCAGTGGTTCATGGTGAAATCAATTAAATAGAAGATCTAGGTTCAACCATCCTGAATGTATTTTAAATCCCATCTTTGATCAAAAGGTTGAGGAGAGTGGATTAAAAGTAAGGTAGCTGACTAAGTGAATGGCATAAGGCCTACTGTTTGTCTTTAGAGATCTTTTACATTAGTTGGAAGCACTAAGCTATCATAATTAAGGAAGACAGGACTGCTGTCTTTTCTGGGCAAGACATCCATTTGGAGGATGCACAGTCAGATTTTTGTTCTTCCTCTAGTTAGTTTTAGCATTTTAAGCTTTTGAAGGAACAGACAAAATTATTATTTGAATTAGGAAGTCTCAGAAATATGTAATTAGCAAACCTTGTGAGTCCATGGAATTATTTTATTGCTCATTATGCCTCATGAGAAGTTGAAAAGTAAAACAGGACAAGACAAAACACTTCCAGTATCTTTCAAGAAAATATAAAATTATGATAGAAATAACTGTCCCATCAACAATTTTCTTCATAAAACAAAGAGATTCTAAAATTAAATTAAGGGTATCCTGTTAGCAAGCTTTTGAAAGGTAAGAGCCACTACATAAAAAGAAAGACAGCTTGGAAAATTTCTAGAGGGGTTTTATGCTTTGAAACTTCAGAGGCAGGCCCCAAGTCTCCAAGGATACTATATTTGCATCCTATAGATAGGAGAGTAAAATATCAGTATAAATAACAGACTCTTCCCCAAAGCAGGCTTGATTCTCCACAGTTAGAACTGTGTCTAAATGGCTGAACTACAACCTGAGAGAAGAGTTGTGGATAAACAGTGAAGAATGAAAGTGCATTTTCCAGCAGATATTAACATTGGTTCTAAATATTCTAATTTTACCTGTGCTTCAAAGTATTAAAACACATTACTTTACATTCAGAATAAATCAGCTTTATCATTCATCCTTTATTCTTGGCTGTAAGCACAATATCTGTATAAAACTAACACTCAGATTACTCTGACAATAATAAATACATATCCTTTAATATAATATAAAGTATATAAAGTATGTATCTTTGTGGAGCTTTCAAAACGTGAGTCAGATTGCTTACACCATCTTAAATATTTAAGCCACCAGCTTTGCAAATCATCCATAACAGGTGTCAACAAATACTCTGAATCACACCCTCACCTACTCTTCATCTTCATTTTTCTATTATACATAGAAATGTGAAAGCCCATCACTAATAATTATCTGTTTTATTCACTCAAACACATCATTTTCTTCTCCAAAGTGAGGTATTTCCCACCAGTGAAGTAATGAATTTCTGAGCTGTTAAAGTACATTTTAAACAACCCCCAAAATGATACAGATACATTTAGAAGAAAGGCAATTTAAATATGAAGAGGCTGCATGGCAATAAATTATTAGGAGACTGACCTTTATAGCTTCCCATGCTGAAATAACAATCTGTTCTGCTTTCAGAAAGATGTGACACGAACTTTTCAATTAATTTTGCCAAAACTGCAAGAAAAAACCCATTAAAACATTAGAGGCAACAAAATATGGAAATACGTCACCTAACTAAGTGACAATATGTGGGAAAGTAAAGCTATTTAAATTCCTGCATATTTATTCATTTTTTTATGGGAGAACAACTCAAAACATGCATTGCACTTTTACATTCCTAAAACCATTCCTAACTTAAATTAAATTTTAATAGCTTTATTGAGAATATATTCAGTGCAAACAGAAAGAGAATCTCATATTATCTTTATATCCTCCAATGATTACTTCAGAATTTGTTACATGCTTTCAATATGAAACGAAAATTAACTATAATTAAACTATAATATCTTAACACATTTGCTTGTGTATGGAGACAGGAAAGAAAAACAACAAAACAAACTAACCACAAAACCAGCCAACCAACCAAAAACCCCAAATAAACCCAACAACCCACATAGAACAAAAAGCAGATGCCATCCCAAAATTATGCTAACAAAAGCATGTGAAGTTTAAGGGCTGTTTCCAAAAAACCTCAATATAAAGAGGCTTATGCCATCATAAGATAAAAATTATTCACTTAAATTTATGCAATAGGAGTATTTCATTTGGGAAATCTGCATTTAATGATGACCATAATGTTCTTAATTTCTTGCTACAGAGCTTTGAGTCTGCAGATACTGCATAGCTAAGTCTGATGCTGGTATCTGTTCACTAGGGAGGAAATCTTATCTCCCACCTTGAAAGGGTGTTAGCCAGGAAGTTAGCAAGAACTCTTGGTGACAAATCGTTATCCAAACTGTCCCTGATTCCTCCATTCTGCAAGTCTGAGGCTATAGCAACTGAACATGTGACACCACACAAGTTTAAACAAATGTTATGAGAAAGCCTTCACACAACCTGCATAGAAGAGGCCCATATGAGGTAAACCATATTAGGAATTTAGGATAGCAACAATGAACTTTTTTAATAAGTAAATGCTATCCTAAAAGAGCTGCTGTTGACTCCATAAATAGAATGGATACTGATACTTCTCACAAGAATGCAAAGCAAGGGAGTGTATTTAGAGAGTAACAACTGCGGCTACCTGTGGGATTTCCTGTTTAAAGACCATGCTACCATTTCCCCGGCAGCACTTCCAGTTAATAGCAATGAAGCTTCAGCTCCTGTTCCCCCATTCTTGCACATAACTCCAGGCACCCACTGCCCAGGTGGGTTTGCTGGTTTTAAACTGAATATTCACAGCGTTATAGAATGGCATGGGTTGGAAGGGATCATAAAGAACACCCAGTACCACTACATCCTTTAAGCGGACAGTGGCAGGAGCAGCTGCAGCACTGCAAGTGAGGCAGAGCAAAAACACATGCTGGAGCTGGAAATGGAGAAAGCTAGAAACCTCTTGAGCTAGCCATGATGATGGGAAAACTGATGAAAAGCAGTTAAAGAGCAGTGCAAGCTCCTTTGGGAATGAGGAGGAGGAGTAAGACAGAACTTCCACCCACAGTCTGATGCTTGTTATGCCAGAAAAACAATGAAGAAAAAGATTATATAATAAAGACAATTGAGTATTTTTCTAATTATTTTAAGCTAACATACTAAAATTAAATCACAATTTTTTTGGGTCTAGATTAATTGCCTAAAACATTTACAGAAATTGATTTACACTGAATAAGTCCAGAAAAAGTTTGTAAAAGGTTGTGTTTAAACTAATGTGTGTAATGCTAAAAAAAGTTTCAGTACAACAGCTAAACATGAATTTACAGTTAGAGCTCCAACTCCAACAGTAACAAAATTAATTTTGCATTGCAAAGGACTACTAAATTAAAACTAAAAAACTACATGTGTAATTTATATTCTTATGCACTCTTATAGTGAAAAGAAACTGCTAATTAAATATAATATAGCTATTTTTAATCATGGTTAATAAAACATATGGGGCTAAAAAAAACCAATTTACTGCATAGAAGAATAACAATTTATTATTTTTTGAAGAATATACAAACACACTAATCCTCACTAATATGCTTAGTGGAATTTGGCCCACAAGCAGCATAGCAAATATTTGTGTAAAATGAGCAAATGTGTCTATTCCTGAAACTGTAGACAGCAAAAAGCAGAAATTAGACTTTACATTTGTAACTAGCTATATATTTACTGCAGGACTATTAGTATGGTGATTACTGAAATATGCCATACTGTAATAATAAATGGGAGCTATGTTAAGACTAAAATGTCCCATAATTCCGAAATTTTTAAACCAAGTTGGGACATTGAACATTTCTTCCCTTTGTGTCATAAGGCATCCACATGTTTGACCTAACAGGTGAATACTTCAATTCAGTGCTTGAGTTAATAGAAGTGACTGTTCAGCTGCTAAGCAGTATTTTGAAACTCAAGTACTAAATTGATTTCCACCATTTGAAAGTATTTATCTAAGTACCTATAAGGATCTTTGAAAATATTTTAATCAAGTTTGAGGGACAAAGACACACAAGAATGTGTCTCAAAACACATGTGATTAATACATAAATAGAGGGAGGACACTGCCTTTTCCAAAGGAACATTTATGTGAAATGACAATCAGCTATTTAAATTTTTGTCTTTTACTACTGAATCATTTGGACACTGTAGAAACTGGTTCAGTGATTCTTCATTAATTGGAAAAAAGACAAATGACATCTAGGCAGGTTCATTGTACAGTATAGTCAGTATTGCTGTAAAAGCCAAAATTTTCAGGTAGTTTATGTGGCCTACCAACACAGCGAAAATTATGATTTTCCTAAATTATGGTAGCTTGACTGTATTAGTATGGAAGTTTTTAAGAGTCAAAATAAAGAGAATTTTAATTTAGGTGTGTGTAATCATATATGAAATAAATGGAAATGATTTTAAATATCTTAAATTACTGTAGTATGCTCATAAAACACCTAGATTCCTGCAGGATTTTCTTTTTCCTTGAAGAAGTAGTGTAGAAAAGGAAGGTAACTGAAACAGCTTCAAAACTGGGTAAGAACACTGCTTTGGAAAAAGCACATGGTTAAAACGGTTTCAATAGGTAACAACCACAAGCACTAACCTAATTCCTACTCTGAAAGTTTTAAGCCAAAAAAGGTCTAAAGATGCAAAAAGCATCAGATTTTTTTAAATCCTCTAATATAACTAGTGTTACTGGATCATATTCTATGACCCAGATGTTTCAGAGGCTTTTAAAAGAAAATACAAAGGATTATTTTAAAGCAGTTCTGCTCTCAGGCACAAGGTGTGACTCCTGGAGATGGTCCAGCGCAGGGACAGGAGCTGGATTCAATGGTTCTTGATGGTCCTTTCCAACTCAGCTGATTCTGTGACTTCAGTTAGAGGCTAGAAATTCAAGATTCTAAGATAATCTTAGATTACTTTTTTGCAAGAGTAGTGTCAGAAATTTTTAACTCCATCAACCATATTTCAGTTTAATAACTATATGAAAAACAGAGTCAGCAATTTCATTATTGATGGCAACAAGGAGGACTTTCAATTATCATATATTAAAATGACAAATGAACAATGTACATTTTCTCTGAAAAGAAGAAAAGATAATAAAACTTCTGTCAGTGCTTCCATTAGAGATATATGTTTATGTAACATATGCAATGTTCAAATATTTTCCTTATTAACGGAAAAAACAGCCCTTTAAATCCAAACCAAATCTTTACACACCTGCATGCACATTCACATGCACTTGCACTGCTTAGAGTGGCTCCAAACTGATTTGGGGGACAGAAGAAAGAATTTCTGCTCTGAAATTGTTCTTTCTGCATAACATAAAGGCCCACTGTTCCATTTGAATTCTGACACAAGCTTCCTTGGAAAATCAAGGACATAAAAAGGCAAACATCTATTCTATATTATTCTAAAAGCTTCTTTTGCAAATAGAGTATCAGCATTTTGTTATCCTGAAATAAATCAGCACACAACAGTCACTGGTTATTTATCCTATGGGGAAATCCTGTAGTTAGCTTCAAGTTTTTGTTGCAATTGCTAAAGGCTGCAGCACACATACATCACAATGACACTGCCTCAAAGACTCATTGTATTTTTTGTCAACAGGTTTTGATAGAGCTATCTTAGATGATGCAGAGTTCACAAAATATTAAAGGATTCCAGAACACTGTGTTGACTGTAACCACTCTGCTTCCATCAAACATTTCATTTACGAAAGCTGAAGAAAATTCCTATGTTTTACTGTAAGTTCTCACATGCAAGATCAAGAGCTGCTATCTTTTCTTTTCTTGATTGGTTGATTTTTATTTTTAAAAAAAACCAACGATTTGGAGGTAAATTAATAGGCCTAAAGAATGCTGCAGAACAAAATCCAGATCCTCAGAGAGACAGGTGATGGAAAATCTGAAAGACTCTATGGAGAAAGTAATTTTAGCTGAATTTACTATCCCTATCCATATCACATATGAAAGCTTGAGAAGAATAGGATTTGGGAACAGAATATCTCATTATGAGGGAAGAATGTTAGCATATAATTGATATTATCTCTGCAACACCCTTAATTTATTTTGCTTTGGGTTCAAAGTCTCCTAAAAGGGGAGAGAAATAAGGCTGTTGAATCTGTCCAGAAGTCAGCTGCTGATACCATATTAACTGGGAACAGATGAAAAAAGAAGTTGCTGGAATGGCAAACAACAGAAATGCCTTCTGCCATATCTGAAGGACAAAAAGGAGAAGATAATTGAAAAAGGCATGGCTAAAATAGTCAAGATGAGTTCAAGAGAGAAAAAAAACGCAAAACCATAAGCCACCTCTCTCTCAATCATGTGAACTATTTGAACATGCACTAGGCTAAGCCTAGATTCATACAGAGTAATAATTTTCTACATAAATCTAAGCTATGGTTCAGAGGAGTTGATTTGCTCGCTTCTTTTTCTGCCAAATCTTAGATGCCTGTACACAGAAAGCTATTTTCAAGATGTACTAAGGACACTTCAGGGAGGCTACAAGTACTATAATGAGCACTCCAAAAGCCAAGACAACCAAAGGCTCTGACCATGGTTCTCTAGCTGATAAGTGACCCAAAGAAACTAGGAGCTATACACCCTAACACCCACAAATCTGTGGCACCTTTAAGGAAGGAATGACTGGAAGCTTATTGTGCTTAGAACAACAGACTGTAGGAGCTGGTTAACTACAATATGTTTTGCTTTTAGGAGACCAAAAAAATTCCAGACTTTCAGTCCTAACACATTAAAAGACATGCAAGCCTGAGGAAGGTTTGTATCCCCTTTTAGAAGTTAAATAAAGCCTTTCAAAACTGCATCTTGATGTTTGAGCACAGAAATTATTTAAAAGCTACAGTCGGAGGTGATGTTTTAGCAGAGAAAACACCAGTCTAAGGCCATCCCAAAAGCAATGCATTACCAAAGCATTTAGCACAAAAGTATTGATCAAGTTAATGGGAGAGTAATCAACATGGGAACGGTGAATTAGAGATATTGATAATGTATAGTTTGCTCAAGAATTTTTGGATGGACTTCAAGCAGGTTCTACAGATTCAGAATCTGGTAATCGTGACACCAGATCACAGAAAATTTTAAACAAATCAATATACATTACACTATACAGTCCTTGAATCTAATGTTGTCTTTGCTCGTTATATTTTGGTTTGACTCCTGTTCCTGTCAGTCCCCCTTAAAATGGGCCCAGTACAGAAAGCACAAGTGTACATCTTTGTTCTGTAAACCATGGAGATTGCTCCATCTGTAACTATTGAGAAAGCTTTGATTTCTGGGCATCTGGACTGAAGTCACTCACTCCTCTGAAATCTGGGAGAGCTTCACATGCTGCAAAAGATACACAGTAGCACAACTGTCTCTTGTAAAATGGATTTTCTTGTGAAAGTGAACATGATGCTGTCTTAAACCACAGAGCTGCAGATATTTTGCTGCTTCTGAAATATCTCCAAGCAGATACAGAACTGAAGAGCTTTGCAACAGCCAGTTGTATTAATTGCTTATCTAAATAATATAAAGGGAAACCTTGGGCACCTATAAGCAAGTTAGACTACATACTGACCATCTGACCATAATCAGAATTCCTAAGGGAAAGGAATCCAGCAATTTCTGAGAACATCTTGGTTCTTCATGGCTACGCAAGCTTATATGACATCACAAGGGAATTATTCTACTGATTTATGTCATATAGATGATCTGTGTTTTTGCTTTGGCTACTTTGTTTTTTTAACTGAGCTATAGCAATGCTCCTGCATGATCACACTGATCATTAGAAATGCATATGAAAATTAAGAAAAACCTGAATGAATGGGTTCTTTGATATTTAGTATGGCTTATTTCTGATATTTTTATTGAAATTTCCCATTAATATAATTTCCCAATCCATGTTAACTCATTCACTGATCTCTAAGCATCTGTTTTCTTTCAGGCTTTCTTTTTCATTTTCTCAACAGCTCAATAATGGACCCTTTAGAGATCTGTAACAAAGACTTGTATTTGAGCCCTCTTTCTCTGTCAAATTTCACTGACAACATAAAGGGATAACAGTCATAAAGAGAAAAATAGGACATAAAAGCATAAACCTTATTTTCTTGGGAACATCCCATTGAAATGGCTTTTATAATCAACACAAAATTATGGACTACTTGTATAGATAATGTACTCCTCAATGAAAATAAGAAGAGTTGCTTACTAGTGGCATTTTGCCTGCTTTCTTTGTTAAACCTCTTAACTCATACTCACTTGGTCCACTGATGCTATCTGGTTTGGTTTTCATGACTTTGCAGAACTGCTTTCTACAAATTTCTGCCCACTCAGTTGGCTTGTCTGGACTTTTCAAGACTTTTAAGAGCTTGTCAAGATCTTTATCTAGAAGAAATGAAAAATTAGTGTTATTATATAATGATCATACACTGACAGAATAGTTTGAGTTGAAAGATCATGTAGCCCCAATTCCATTGCCATGTATATTTTGGCAGACCTCATAAGACTACATAAATATGCCTTTTCCTAAGACAAACTGGAGAAGCAGTCCTAAAGCTGATGACATTCTGCTTTATACAAAACAGACATATTCTTTCTGCTTACTGGTGGGGTTTTGTGCTTATTTTGGCTGGGGTAGAATTAATTTTCTTTGCAGTGGCGGATACAGGGCTGTGCTTTGTATTTGTGCTGAACACAGAGTTGATAATCTAGAGATGTTGTAGAGATCCTTCTTACACAGACTCTGCCTTTTCTTCTTTCATACTGCTACCCTGGCAAGGAGGCTGGGGGTGTGTGGGAAATTGGGAGGAGACACAGCTGGGACAGGAGACCAAAACTGACCAAAGAGAAAGAGGAAGGGGAGGAACATTCTGAGTGATGTTGACATTATGACAGTTGACATGGTGGTGTTCAGTCAAAGGTTGGACTCAATGATATCTGAGGTATTTTCAAACCTAATTGATTCTGTGTTTGTGTTTGTCTCCCTAAGTAACCATTACGGATGGATGGGGTCAGGCCCTCCTGCAGATGGCTCAACACCTGCCTGCCATCAGGATGCAGTGAATTAATTCCTTGTTTTGCTTTGTCTGTGTGCATGGCTTTTGCTTTTCTATTACACAATCATAGAATAAGCTGAGTTGGAAGGGTGTCGCTCTAATTAGGAACGGCTGGGTAGAGGCGACATAGACTCTCAAGGAGTCAGATCAGGAGAATTCCTTAGTTTATTCCTTTAGACTTGTTTTATAGACTAGTTCGTGGAAAGTACAGAAAGGAAACTCTTATTGGTTAGTAAACTACTACATCACCATCATTGGTCAGTGGTGTACACCACCTCCTGACTTTCTCCTGCAAGGAAAACAAGAGGACAGACAAACAGCACCTGGCATGGCTGTTTTCTGTTTCTGAGGATTGTTTTGAAATCCTCCTATGAATTTCTCAGGCTAGCTCTCAGGCAGGATCGAGCTCTGTGTAGCCTGTAATAGCTACAGGCACTCTGGTTCAGATTTAGCATCCATAGAAGGGACCCATCAGGATCATCAAATTCAACTCCTGGCCCTATGCAGGGCAACCCAAAAATCACACCATGTGCCTGAGAGCGTTGTCCAAACACTTCTTGAACTCATAAAGGCTTGTTGCTGTGACCACTTCCCTGAGAAGCCTGTACCAGTACCCAACTGCCCTTTGGATGAATAGTATTTTCCTGATATCTAATCTAAACCTCCCCTGACTCAGCATCATTCCATTTCCTCAAGTCCTATCATTGATCACAAGTGTGAAAAGATCTGTGCCTGCCCTTCCACTTCCACTCATGAGAATGTTGAAGACCACAGTGAGGTCTTCCCTCAGTCTCCTCCAGGCCGAAAAACCAAGTGGATCTCAACCACTCCACGTAAGGCTTCCCCTTCCAGCCTTCACCACCCTCACTGCCCTCTTTTGGGCACTCTAACAGCTTAATGTCTTTTTTATGTTGTAGTGCCCCAAACTGCCCCCAGAACTTGAGGCGAGGCTGCCCCAGTGCAGAACAGAGTGGGATAAGCCCCTCCTTGCCCAGCTGACAGTGCTGTGCCTGATGTCCCCCAGGACAGGATTGGCTTTCCTGGCTGCACAGGTAACGTGGCTCCCGAAGTACTTGATACTGCTATGAAATCTCTTCTGGCCATCTTGAGGGGAAAAATAAAGATGGTACCTGAGACAAGAAAAGTGCACATGCATTTGCTCTGTGTACAATTCCTCTGCTGTTGGATTATGCAGTTCCTATCATTTATCTTGAATAGATAATGCAACCTACACAAAGTGTTCGCTAGGGTGATGAAAATTCTTTATACCTCACAAGATCTCCTTTATCCTGTTTCTACATTTTGGATACTATAGAAATGAATGTTGCCATGAAAGGTGACACTTCTTATTGAAGTGTTGTCCTAGGGTGACTTTATGATTCTTGTATCCCAAATCATCTCTTCTGTTTATGCTGGATATTAAGTTCTGCACCTTTAAGACTGGTTCTAAGAATGAGGGGGGGAAGAAGCAGTGCTCAGTTTATTTGCAGACACTGCACTTGCTCCCCCGCATTCCTGCTCCCGGACTGTGCTGTCTGCAGCACGGACAGGGACAGAGCTCACCTTTGCTTTTAGTTTACTTTTTTTACCTAGCTGAGGCAGAGAAGTTCCCCAGACTGTGGCTTTTCTTTTCCTGGAACTGCTCAGCCTGCTCTGGACCGAAAGACCAGACAAACCCCAGAGCTCACACCTGTGGCCCAGCGGGGCCCGGGACGCGGCACTTTCCAGCGCAGGAGGGACTCACACCAGCCTGAGCGAGCCGAGCTACACCCCACGAGAAGGACTCTCTCTCTGCATTTGCCATCTCTTCAGAACAGCGAGAGGTTCCATTGGTTAACAGCATTCATTTTCTCATGTTTGTGAATACTTTGCTTGTTAAATAAACAGATTTTTTCCACTTTTCTCCAAGCAGATTTTTTTCTCCTGAACTGGTGGGAGGAGGGGCTGCTTGAATTTGCTTTCTAGAGGGACCCCTTCAGAAGTTTCCTCCTTAAATTAGCCCTAAACCAGGACAAGTGTCAACAATTTGTTTGAGCCAGTCTATGGATATTTAGAATATTTGCTGTCACTTCTGCTTATTTATAGCATTTCTGTTTCAAAACACTCTTTTCAAACAATCTTATTCTTTTAAGATTATTATTTATACTATTATAATAATATCGTTATTATTAAGAATATTTTCAACAGAATTATGATTTTGTATGTAATTTAATTTAAACTCATCTAAAAACCTTAATGATTTCTAATTAGTAGCTTGTAGCCCTGCCATTGGAATTCATTATACAGTACATAAGATTTCAAAACAATCTTATTATAGTAACTTAATTATTATCATTAATAATGACCCCAAATTAATTAACCAGAAATTTCTTTGTTATCCTCAAATAAATAAGTCTTAGTGTCTTCCCAAATAACACGCAGTGATGCTTAGAACAGCTTATTTATGAAAATTTCATGTGAAGGATTTAACTCTTGCAGTATAATCAGTATGATATCTAGTTCTTCCTCTGCAATTTTTTGTTATTTCTGAAACAGGTGAGTATTGAAAAAAATCCTAGAACTGCAAAGAAACACACCTCGATACGAGCTAAACAGTTATTTTACTTCCCAAGAATTGCAGTAATTCAGTTTGGCAGACAAGGACCAGAGACTACAAGCTGAGATTTAATCAGGACCAGAGACCCATGCAACCACAATAGTGTGGTGCAGTCATGTATTTAATATATCCATTACAAACTGTAACTGGTATCATATTGTGGAAACTTACTGTAGCTTATTTTCTTCCAGGTAAACCACCTGCTTCCCTTAAGTTGTCATTAAATGCGGACTATCGCTCCGCCAGCAGGTCATCACAGTAAAAAAAAAAAGACAGAACCTTGGGGTTTTTTTGGAATGACAATTGTTTACAAAAACTCATGATATCAAAAATGCCAGCTCACTTTCACAATTTAGTAGGCAACAATAACTTTCCCAACAGTATTACCTTGCAGCTGAAACTTAAGCAACAACACAGTTCTGGGCTATGCACATTACATGTTTCTGAGGGCAGGCTGTCACACTACCACTATGACTAGAGGTATTCTAAACACAACACCACCAAGAAACAGAAGTCCTACTTTTATTTCTTCTCTTTTCTGATTTGTCACTATATGAGTTCACTAGTTATCATAAATTAATGACCTGAATTTTATTTTTTTCCTGAAAAAATACTAGACCTGCTGAATGATGTGAAGAATAGAAGGTGAGGGAACATGGGATGGAGAAAAAAAAGAGAAGAGAAAATATGAGGAAGAAAATTACTAAGACCTTCCTCTACTGACACTAGCAAGCTTTTAAATATGGTCATGATTGAAAAGAAGCTAATGTCAATTTAATTTATCTACTGCACTCCTTCTCTCATCTTCATAAGTGGTTAAATTTTGCCATCCCATCTCTTGCTTGGACTTACACTGTGCTAGCATTGGCTGTTCTGTGTAATCCCATGAAAAAAAAGCCAAAACCCCCACATCTACTATTTTATGAAGCTCTGAAATTGTAGCATAAGTAAGCTACACATACATGCATGTATGGAATCTAATCATACTACATACTACATCATAATCGCAAATTTAAATTGATCTCCCTTTTCTAAAAGATGCTGCTTTATAATTCTTCTAATAATTCTTTAGCTAGCTTGTTTAGCTCTTCAAAAGCAAGTAAGAACTAGAAAAATTCATTAATGTTTTAGAAAACACAAGAAAAGCAACAAGCCCCTTCTCATCTGACTGTGCTTTGTGATTAATAACTAAGACCTGTAAATCCATGCATATCTTACTCAAAATCTAAACTGAGAGATGAATAACCTGACTACAATTTATTTGACATAGAAACAAATCTGTACAGAGATATATAATTTAGGAAACTTCATTTGCATTTCTACTTACTACTCATTCATCTTTTTTTAACTGACTGGATTTAAAAGGAAAAGGCAATAGTCTCATACATGAATACCATGACCATGAATACCAAATATAAATAGGAGAACAAGTGAAAGAAGTGTAGGTGATAAAGGCATTTATGCGACAGGGAAGACGACTGATTCTTTGACAGAGAAAGTTTAGAAAAAAAATTAATGAGACTGCTAATACTAGGTATTAAAAAAAAAAAAAGTCTGAAATCACATTTAGAAAACAAAACCAAACAAAACAATCAAGAAACCCTCAATGAAATCAAAACTGAAACATGGCAGCAAGTTCCCATTCAAGTTAGAAGTATAAAGCAAAGAACACAGAGAACCGTGGCTGAGATAAAGTATCAAAATATTTTTGATAAGATATAGCCACAGACTTTTGGACTGTAGAAGAAAATAAGATTAATGAATGGTGGGATACCCAAGTTTAGGGAAATGCTAAGCAGTGAATGCATCTTCATCAGTTGCAGGACATTTAGGGACAATATTCTTCAGCCACAGTCATCACCTACTGTCATAACTTCAGAGCTAGGACTAGAAAAGGAAAACATATTCTGTGCAAATACAAGAACGAATATTACCGTTTAATAGCCTTCAAAATGGTTTAACTTTTAATAATCTACACTATAATTAATACAACAAGTAAAAAAAAAACCCAAAACTTTTCACAGTTGTATGCTGAATATGAAAGGATTATGTCATTCTTTGAAAACCACTTAATAGCTCTTCCTCAAATTACCTTAATGAAACAATAACTGAACAGTTAAAACAAGAAAATCAACAGGCTATCTTGCTGCAGTGTAAACAGGTAGAAATGGCAGAATTAATTTTCATATGTAAATAATGATCCACGTTATCATTTGAAGTTTCACTATAAATTACCTTTGACAGAAGTGAATCATTAATATACTACTATCCAATAGTTTTCAAACTCTAACTACCAGCTGAAATGATTAGAGCATATTAATATACAATCAACCAAATTTATTTTTCCATAAATCCTTTCCTGCAGACCCATATACCACACAGACAAACACCTAACATCTGTAAACACTGATACACTACAAATTTTCCTCAAATACAAATATATTTTTTGAGTGAGTCTGCTTACTTAAAGTGTCCCCATGAAATGGAAGAGATACTCCACTACTCAAATTCAGTTACTAAATTTACCAACACAAATTACATTAGAGTCCTTTTTTATTCAGTGAATCAAAATATGCACTTGCCAGCGTCTGTGATCACCGTAATTATATGAATAAAAGCAAGAGTGTTAAAAAAAAAGTTATGTTACAGAGTCTTCTGCCTTGGTGCTGGTAAACATGTTCCATACACTGTCAGAATTACCACTGCTCTGCTTTTTATTACAGCTCATTAGTTCTCCTCCCTTTGTACCCCAGACTGAACCATAAGGTGTCAGTGTTGCACGTTTACCACTTCAAAAGAATTTGTAGAATAAAAACCCTACCCACTTCTTGGGTTTTCATGCTAGAAAACTAAGTGTGAACAAGTCCTTTTAAGTAACCACCCCTCATAAGCTACTTTCAGTTTTATCCATGGTTTCCATTATACCAGATACAGTCACAGGATAAATGAAGTCCAGGGATCTAGAAATGAAGCTTCCTTTTCCCTGATCTAGTTTGGCCACACTAGTTCCAAAATGTTCTGTTATGGCATCTGTCATTCAACTCCATTTGAAGGGAGGGTTAGAAACAAAAGTATTAGCAGTATCATATTCAAGAGCACATCTGCAAATATTTTTTTTACTCTCACCAGCCATCTCCAATATCTATTATATAAATATATTAAAAAATCAACTCAGGTTACTTTTTTTAAACCTGCCATCACAATTACGTGATGGATATAGGATGGATATAGGATCTTTGCATTTTCAGAAAGAAAGAAAAGGTAAGCTTCTCTTGAGGTGTCCATGTCTCTTGAACAATAAAAGAGGACACAAATAAGAGTCAGGACAGACAGAATAAAACCTACAGATACAGCTTTTTCAGCCAAAGAAACTATACATTCTTAAACAGTACTAAGAATCCACTAGTCTTAATTATTCATGTCATAGAAACACTCAAATTAAGAGGACTGGAATGATACCTCAGAGGTTACATAATGAAATACTACAGTATGAAATCTGAGCACAGACAGGTTCAGGGAACCAGAGACACGGAGCTGGCCTTCAAGCCTTGTCAACAGATACAATGAAGCAGTCATGCATTCCCACTCACACCATGGCTGCAGAACCCTTGCCAGTCAAAAGTCTGTGTGAACCCTGTCTATCTCCTTGCACTAAAGCAGAATGAAAATTTAAGAAGTATTTTTCTAAACTCCAGGCAATCTCCAAACACACAACATGCATTCTGAATATTCACAACAGAGTTGTAAGATCTTGTATAAATGTATCTCATGGATCCATCTCGTAATCGTATTTTTAACCTCTCTTTGTGAAAGAAAACGTCTATCACTTCTATATCATAGTGCTTAAAAATATAGTTCACACATTCTCCATTTTCTATTCATGCTCTTGATTTCGTTTTTTGCAAGCACTACAACAGCAATTTATGAATTTCATTCTTTTATTTTTTTGATCTATTTATTCTAACGCTTTCTTTCAAAATAACTTACATATCCTGAAAGCTTCAATCTGACAAATCATATGTTCACAGTTCAGTGATTTGTTGTTTTTTTTAACCTAGTACTGAAATAGAACACTTTCAATGGTTTATTTCCCTTTTATTTTCAAACAAGAAACACATAATATTTTGACTCCACTACCAAACCTTCTGTTCATTTTGCAGTTATACAATCTTTTACTTCTGTTACCATTAACATCAAAAATTTGCAAACCTTTGAAACTTCGTTTCGGCAGATTTACTGTTAGCCAAAGTTTTTACCCAAGTTTTCTTAGTTGGCTCTCACCCACAAAGGTGACAACTCTAATATCAGTTTCTTTATCCCACTGGGTAATGATGAGCAACAAAATTATTCTGAACAAGAGAACACAGGGATCCTTTGAATACATCATGAGAATAATAATAATACAAAATGTGTTTCCAGCCCAGGAGTGGTACTACTGCCTCCTTGAAGACACCCACTTTACCATTATCTGATTGCTGTCTTATGAAACTTGCCTTAGGAAGCCTGGAACGGTATTAAAAAGCTAAGATACAGAAAAATTCCTTCTTTTATAACTTATATGGCCTTTCCTCTGATCAGAGCAGGAAATCACCTTTTAAATTTTTTTCACCCAGATATATACAAACAGACTATTTTATAGTCCACAGTTCATGTAGAATTTCTATCAGTTCTGTAAATCTGTCTCTGCTAAGGATATTCACAAATAATTTCTAATAAGTTCATCTCAGGGATATAGTAAACATGAACAAATACAATGAATTATTTATTTACCAAACCATTGACCAGATTCTTCTGCATTGTCTATGCAAACTAAAACCTTTAAACAGTTTCTCTGTGTGAAATAAACTGCTGTGCCTAGGTAGTTCTTCAAAGGATTCTTCAGTCTGCTCACATTCCAAACTGATGTTCAGTGTGGAAACCAACTATCCTAAGCACTGTCTATTTCACACACCACCAAGCTCTGTAAACACAGGGATGTGAATCACGAAAATAGTGTACAAAAAACTCTGCAGTTTAAGCAAACTGTCTTGCTTCAGTTACTACAGAGATGATATAAATGTACCTTATGAGTCACCCACCAGAGACGAGCCAGGAGGTTAATCTTGAAGTTTGCATAAGAATTAGATTACCAAACAGAGCTTTGCAGATTGACAGCTGCACAAAGCCAAACAAGCAAAACCAAACCAACTCATTTAGCTACAATTGCAGCCAACACTGAAATAACCTTAAGTACTTAATGAGATTATAATCTGTGGGATGTGAGGGTGGGGAGCAGAGTGCAGGGAGAAAGGAAAAAGAAATTTTTTTAAATTGACTGAGATATTTTCATGAAATCTACACTGCTTGTGTGCTTTCTTCATACCTTGTCTGAATTCAACTTTCCTAGGTATTTCTGCAAGATAGCACTTTGGCACAGGCAATGATGAAAACATTGGCCAAGGATATAGACCACTGCCCTAAAAACAGGACCAGAAACAAATTAATTTAGCAGAAAAATTAATAGCTTTTTCTCGATTAACACGCAAAGGTACAGTTCCCAGAATTACTGCCTATGCACTAAAATTATGCTTGATACTACAATTTCCAATGAGATGTGCTATAACTAAAAAAAAGATAGAAAATCCTAAAAGCATTTGAGAATATAATTTTTTATGGTGTATATTCCACTGACAGTTTTGATTTTACAGTTCCTTTTTTCAACCACAAAGGAAATTGGAAGTTTTATAAAAATTATTAAAAAAATCCCCAACAACCTACTAAACTGTATTTCCAAATTTATACATTGCTTTAGGTGTCTTTGTTGTGCTGACAGTAATCTGCATTTCATCTTTATGAGACTGACAGCCAGTGAGAAGTAGAACATTTAAAGAAGTTGCTTAACAAACACTCCATTGTTAAAACATCAATGAAAGCTCCACATATTAGATGCTGCATATGAAAATCCAAGCATGGAAAAAATATCAAATACAATGAAGATAAATGGAAAGCTAGTAAAGAAAACACAGAAATTTAAAAGAAAAAAATCACAGACAAATTGTATTTGCTTAAAAATAACATTAAAATGGAGCAAAATAAACATGTCATCAGAATGTAATATGTCCTAGGTACATGACAATCCCCAGAGAGCAGGAGCAATGTATTTGCTCAGAGTATTCCTTCTTTAAAATGTTAACACTTCATAAAGCTAAAGGTGTTCTGGTGCTAAATAATTTTTCATATGCTGAATTATCAGCAAAAATGTTCAGTTAATGAAGGCAGATGTTACAGAAAGAGAAACTTGTAAACTTTAGGTTCTAACCTTATCTAATTCTCTCAAAGGCAAAATCCTTTCCTGTGGTCCTCCGATCAGATTTATCCTTACAAGAACATGGTTTCTCTCCACTGACAGACCATCAATTATAAAAACTCTGTGGAAAAAAAACCCAAACAAAACACAACAAAATTAGAAACTCTGATGAACTGACTATTTAATTTAAAAAAAATTAAAGAAGCAAGAATATTTTGAGAAACATACTGGAGTTAAAACACAGCCTGGAATACATACAGGCATAAATAAACAGAAACATGAAGCATTTTGAGATGTCTCCAAGCATTGTTCTAACTTTGTGCTTCCCTACCTGATTAGAAACGTTTGAGCAAGTACCAGACCCAAAAGAGTAGAAAATCTCACAAGTTTTCTTATGTCACATAAAAATTATATAATTAGGGCAGTGACAGTTAATCTACCATCAAAATTTGTTCCTTAATTGGCCTACCACTATACTTCTGCTGTCACAAATAAGCAGGGTTATTCACTATTTGAAACACAGACAACATGCTGTATGAAGTCACTGTGCAGCCCAAGGTACAGGATTTCTGAAAGCAGTAAAAATTCACAAAGTTTCTTAATAAAAGTTATTAAGTTATTAAGCATTAGTAGGGAAATAGCAGGTTTCATCTTCAAACAGAAAATAACTATCATCACCCACACTGTTTGACTTACATTCTGTAATGGTCCCATATAACAAACAGGAAAATACTTAAAACTCAGCATGCTGTGAGAAAGGAAAAAAAATGTCTGTAACTAAATGACTGTCCTCTTCTGTCCCAAAAATACTCTTTTCCTTTTGAAAGGATGTGCTGTGCAATTTCTTTTAAAAGACAGCAGTGGAAAGTCATAGAAGCTGGAGAGCTGACTGATCTACAAGTATACTGTTGGAGTGTTGACAAAGCTACAAACCAAACAATAAAAACAACAACAAAAATACTCACCCATAAAAACTTCAAAGTACTGATGATGCTGATTAATTCATAAACATTAAAACAATACCCTGATTTTATATTAAATACATAACATTTAAATTAAAATTTTAATAAAAAATTTAATAAAATACTTACATTCACAAGTCTTAAACCCTTTTTGTTTAAGAAACAACTTAAGAGTAATATAAGTAAAAAGTAGAAAAATAATTCCTTTTTTATTTCTTATACTATTGGGGTGAATATGGGAGAAAGAGAAAGCTATTGCATCTTTTCATAATTTAATACTGCTGGCAATCCTGCATGTAGGGAAACTTACATTAGGACATTAGAAGTCAGCTTAAGTGAAAGCATTTGTATGTTTAAAGCCACTAAGGCATTCATGTACTTGTTCTCAGAAGAAGAGTTTGATAGTTAAAATAACATTTACATCAATCATTTCTTACCCTGGTCCTTCTGAAGTTTCTGTGACATTTTCCTCCTGAGCAGTTAGTAAAACTTGAGACACCTTATACTGAGTCTCCAAGAGTAAAAGGGTATTGAGCTCACAGCACAGCACATTTAACAGCCTGCAGAAGGACACATTGAAATGGCAACACATCAGTCGGGACTCCAGTAACACACAGAAAGACAAGGGTGAACATGTTTATGAGATCTTGCAATGGAAAGGGGAGGAAAAAACAACAAAAAAAACCCACTTGAAGTGTCTGAAAAAAACCAAAACAAATAAGTTAGGAACGCTCATTTATATCCCTTTTAACCACTAAGGTGGCACAACCCTAAGCAAACAGGGAATGGTTCCCAACAGTTTTTTCATGTGCACTGAGCAACCAGAGAAATACTCACTGGTCAGCTCAGTCTGCTTTTGAGTTTACATCACAGTGTCACAAAAATGATACAGGCTTAGAAAGACATTCCATATGAAATGTAAGGAAATTATACAATAATAGGCTGGTAAGGCAACTCAGAATTAGGTTGTCTGAAGGAGGAGGAAGGCAGGGAGGTAAAAAAATATATTTCCTTTAGAAAAAAAGGCTTTTAAGCCCTTCTGCATAAGCAAATTTAACACAGTTCAAAAGCAATAAAAGATTTAACATGTAACATAACCAATAAATCTGCTGGGTAGGGTTTTTTTAGAGAAAAACAAATAGTAAATGAAATTAATAATAAGAAACGTGCAAGACAGTACATTATATACAATTTTCTTCCATAACTTTGGGGCAAATTAACAGGGTAAGTACTCAAATATATTTTCATATAAATCTGAAATAAAGCAATCCAAATCATATTACATTTACTTTTAAGTAATCTATTCACTCTATAACCACAACAAAATAATTTCATTGAGGGCTTCTAGTTCAAGGAAAACAATGTAACTAAACATTCTTGTTACTGATTTTATTTCCTACTTTAACACAGTCATAAAATTCAACATAAATTAAGCCTGATCATCATTATATTTTGCATTCACATAAGAATTGATATGAACCAGAAAATATACTGTTTTAAATTCATAGTCTGTTAGTCAAAGTTTATTTTCTTCCCTGTAATTCCTAATACATTTCCAAATATGAATTTGCTATTTCTGACAATAGCAAAATTCATAAGCCATTCTCTCAATAATTTAACACCTGAAAATTCATACAGTTGTGGCCAAGGATTAAACAGTCAAGATGAGAATATGTCTCGGTTTTTTTCCTGTTTTTTTAAAACAACTTGATCTGTTCAGTTTCAGTACTCTTCAGCTTTATTTCTTTTACATTAACTGTTTTGTGACATCAGTTTGTTCTGAGTACTTTTCTAAGTTACAGAAGAAATGACAATTCAACTATAATTTTTATTATTTAGAAGAAAAAAACCCAGATAAGAGCACTGAAACCATTATGAAGAGGGATAATTTTTTTCTGTTAAGTACAATAAATGACAAAGACCTATTTCCAGCAGTTAAAAACCACTTGGGAGAAGACTAGTAGTTGAGAATGCTTTATAACATCTCTTCTGGTAGGCAAGGCAGAGTGAAAAAAAAACCAACCGAACAAGAACAACCAACCATGAGCAAATAAAATTAGGTATATGGAACTGTGGTGAAATAAATGACAAGATATACAAGATCTAGTGTGAGAAGCTGCTGCTTGGGCATTCAAATTCAGTTTTCACCTATACAGAAAAATATATTTAAAAATGCTATTATGGAAGTACAGGTTATTTGGTTTAATGTGATATTCCATTAATTACCTTCCAAAGTCATAAACATATAAAGTTTACAATTAAAAAACACAAACACACTTTATAGTGAGTATATCTGTAACCATGTTTGAATAGAGCTATGAAGTTTTTTTTTGTTTGTTTTTGGAACATAAGAACTGGTACAGACTGCCCATCTCAATATCTCATCTAGAAGAAGTACATGCTTATGAGAATGTATGAAACCTTTTAAGATATAACACAATAAGATTAAAGCATATATTTCTGAGAAATGTTTTAAAATTTCCTTTGGAAAGCAGAAGACAGAATTCCCAACCTGAACAGTGCTGAAAATTGGAAGATACACTTTGATAAGGTTCTTGTAGCTGGGAAGAACCCAATGCAACAATATAGTCCGGGGACCAATCAGTCAGAAAGCAGCTTTGCAGACAAGGACTGGGGGGGTCCTGATGGCATGAGCCAGAAACATGCCCTCCTGGGCTGTGTAATGAAGCCAAAAGTCGCTTGAGGGAGGTGACCCTGCCCCTCTTTGGTTCTGGTAAAGTCATTCCTGGAGTGCTGGGTCTAGTTCTGGGCTCCCCAGTAACAGCATCACACAGACGCACTAGAGCAGGTCCAGCAAAAGGCCAAGAGGTTGACTAAGGCTTGGGCCATCTGACATAGGGAAAAGCTGAGAGAGCTATGACTGCTCAGTCTGGAGAAGAGGCTCCTCAGGGGACATCCTGTCAATGTATATAAATATCAAACAGGAAGGTTTGAAAACTGAGTCAGACTCTTTTCAGTGATACTCAGTGAAAGGATTAGATGTAAATGGCATGAATTGAAAGACAGGAAATTTCATTTTAATATACTCTGATGGTGGTAAAATAGTGGAACAAATTGCCCAGAGATGCTGCAGGATCACCAGGCTTGATAATATTCTAAACCAGACTGGACACAGCCCTGAGTAGTGCTCTGTAGTTGAACCCACTTTGAGCAGAGCAGTTGTACTACACAATCTTCCATTTCCCTTTCAATTCTGATTATACGATTCTGTGATCACTACTAATATGATATACCATATACCGAGGAACAAACTGCATTGCATATAAAATAAAAGATTATCTGAAGGCAGTCCTTTATAGAAGAATAATTTCAAAGAAATTCAGAAATATCAAAATACATATCATAGTTGTGAAAATATGCTAGAAGTAATTCTGTTTTGCATTTCCTGCCCTATCTGACTTGAAAGGTGCTCCCTGGATTCCACCCCTTCAACTATAATTTCACAACTAATACTTCACTTAGAAATTCACTTTAGATTAGGGTAGAAAACCCTAATCTAAAAGAAGGTATTCTAACTAGTGTTTTGTTCCACAGGCTATCTTCTTGGTTTTGGTATGTGGAATCATAATGACTTCTTTAATTATGACAGAACAAAAGGTCCTTTATGGAAGATAAATCAGCAAGTAAATAAACCTTGCTATTTTTATGTTGTCTCTCTAGTTTTTTTTGCCTGAAAATAATATAATTAAACTGCCCATGATTTACTCTGAGTTGCTAAAAATGTGTATTATGAGGATAGCTTTTTAACATCTCAATACCTTTTATACGAGTTCCTTTTAAGAACACAAAACATTATGTCTCTTGTTCTTTTTCCCAATGTCAAACCATGTTTCTCTCAAACATGACCCTTATTATGGTAAACCCAATTCTATTTTTCTGCAGTTCCCACTACACCACCATACACTATTCTTCCTTACTTTCATAATATATGTTCTTTCCAAAGCCACTCTGATGTTCTGTCCTCACTGCAGGCATATCTGCTAATGCTCAGCTGGTGGTGAAAGATACAAGATACTATTCTTGAACACAGAAGCTGTAACAGTCTGTGGTGGGTTGTCACCAGTCAGCAACTAAGCTGCTCACTCCCTTGCCATGCGTGCCTGGCCTGTCTCTGACCAATGAGACCTGCAAGACTAAC